ACAGCCCGATTCGTAACCACTACGCTACCAGAGCTCCTTATGTCCCTTGATTTCTTGACCACAACAGTGAGGAACAAATTTGGGAACAAACACTCCTGTGATTGTTATTTTATGTAAGCTTGATTTGATAGTGGGAACTGCCCCAATTGAATTAAGACACCTAACTCAAATGGATTGGACCCCAGGGTTGTTGTTGTTAGGTACCATCAAGTCAGTACCAACTCATACCAACCCTTTGTACAACAGAACAAAACACCGCCCAGTCCTGGACCAACCTCACAATTGTTGCCATGCTTGAACCCATTGATGCTGCCACTTGGCCAATCCATCTCACTGGTGGTCTTCCTCTTTTTCTCTGACCCTCCACTTTACCAAACATGACATCCTTTTCCAGTGACTGGTTCCTCCTGACAATATGTCCAAAATATGAGAGATGAAGTTTGGCCATCCTGGCCACCAAGGAGCATTCTCGTGGCACTTCTTCCAACACAGATCTATTGGTTCTTTTCGCAGTCCACGGTACTTTCAATATTCTCCTCTAAAACCATAACTCAAAAGCATCAATTCTTCTATGGTCTTCCTTATTCACTGTCCAACTTTCGCATGCGTATGAGGTTATTGAAAATACCATGGATTGAGTCAGGCGCACCTTAGTTCTCAAACTGACATCTTTGCTCTTCAACTCTTTAAAGAGGTCTTGTGCAGCAGATTTGCCTAATGCAATACAACGTTTGATTTCTTGACTGCTGCTTCCATGAGTGTTGATAGTTGATCCAAGAAGAATGAAGTCCTTGACAACTTCAATCTTTTCTCTGTTGATAAGAATGTTGTTTATTGGTCCAGAGGTGAGGATTTTTATTTTCTTTACACTGAGACGCAATCCATACCTAAGACTGTGGTCTTTGATCTTCATCAGTATTTTAAGTCCTCTTCACTTTTAGCAAGCAAGGTTGTATCATCTGCATATCGCAAGTTTTTAATGATTCTTCCTCTAATCTTGATGCCATGTTTTTCTTCGTAAAATCCAGCTTCTTGGATTATTTGCTCAGCATACAGGCTGAATAAGTACGGTGAAAGAATACAACCCTGGCACATAACTTTCCTAATTTTAAACTGGTGTTCCCTTGTTCTGTTCTAACAACTGCCTCTTGGGACACGTATAGATTCCTCATGAGCACAATTAAATGTTCTGGAAGGCAATACTTCGCAATGTTGTCCAAAGCTTGTCATGATCCACACAATTGAAAGCCTTTGCGTAGTAATAAAGCATGGGTAAACACTTTTTTGGTATTCTCTGCTTTCAGCCCAGTTCCATTGGACATCAGCAATGATATCCCTCATTCCACAGCCTCTTCTGAATCCGGTTCGAACCTCTGGAAGTTCTTTATCAATGTATGATTGCAGCCGTTTCTGTATTACCTTTAGTAAAACTTTACTCGCATGGGATATCAAAGAGATAGTCCGATGATTTCCGCATTTCATAGATGAGCTTAATTAGGGTTTCCAAGACTGTACAACTTTATGGAAGCAGACTGCTCATCTTGCTCCCAAGGAGCAGCTGGTGGATTCGAACCATTGGTCTTTTGTTAGCAGTTGAGTGTTAACCACAATGCCATTAGCGTTCTTCTTCTTGAGCACGGTGCTCTTTTAAAGAACTATCCATGTGGGATCAGACAACAGCCTCTTGAAAGGTTAGTCAGGAAGCTTAGGGGGCAGTGAGTTTGTGTTCACTGTGGGAGAAACAGCTCAGAAGGGGAGGGTAGAGTGCTCCCACCACTCAAGACTCATCAGTGTCACTGAATGGTACATGGAGGAATGACTCAGTCAGTGCATGTTTTTCTGTGGTAGCATAGTGGATTATGAGCTGGGCTGCTAACCGCAAGGTCAGAAGTTCGAATCTACCAGTCACTCCGCAGGAGAAAGATGAGGCTTTCTGCTCCCATAAACATATACAGACTTGGGAATCTTTACATAGGGTCTCTGTGAATTGGAACCAACTCAATGTCACACAACCACCACCACCACTTAATTAATACAAATAGAAAAGACAGAGCCAGAGGACAGAAACTTCTGGCATAGAACCTGCTGTGATCTTCCTCAGCACTTCCCCGAGACTCTTGGTAGGAAGGGGCACTCTTGTTTTTAAGGCATCTGTGCCCCAGGACCCTATCCAGCAGGTTCTGAGGGACTTACGGGCTCTCAGCAAGCCTCTTCATCTCCAGTTTGAGGGTGGTCACCCGTCACTTGGTCTCTAAAGGCAGGTCTGGGTCTACAGTGTCTGAGCCACACCTGCAATCCTTTGCAGGACCAGAGGGGGCGTAAGAGGGTGTGGGATCTGAGTATAGAGGGCGAGATGTTTAGGGTTCTGTTAGACTCCAAGTGGTGTCAGTGGGCCTGCACCAGCCATCCCAGAGGCACTGCTGTGGAGTCCTGGGAGCTTCCCAATGACTGGCCAACTATTTTGGGGGACCCAGTTCCGCGGGAGAAAGATGAAGCTTTCTGCTCCCGTAAAGATTTACAGCCTTGGAAACCCTGTACAGGGTTGCTATGAGTTGGAACCGACTCCACGGCACATAGTAGCCACCACCACCAGTGCAAAATGCAAGTGAAGGGTTCTTTGTTCAGAAATTGTTGGCCACAACAGAGCATAGCCCCAGCCCAGGGGAGGGATGGCAACTTGAGTATCACTGGGTCCAGCCCTCCTTTTGGGACAGTGGGGGCTGGGTGGGGCTGAGGCAGAGCACTTGTGGGCACTGTGGGGTACTGGACCAGTATCCGAGCAGATTTTAGGGACAGCTGCCCAGGTACGGTGTCTTACCTCTATAACATTCTCTTGCCTATAGTACCTTCTGGGTTTCCGAACCAAGGACTCACCTCTTTGGGGTTTCTTCTACGTCCAACCTGTGTTAAGAGTCCCTGAGGGGGCTGTTTGAACACAGGGATCCTGGCCCCCACCCTACTCCCACCCAGACAGGATCTCTGGGAATGGGTTCCCTTTGGGTTAGGGGTTTTCAAATAAGCACATACACTGATCTTTAAGGGTGACAGGCGTGCTTCCAACTCCCTGAGGACAGAGTGAGTGGGCTCCCTCAGTGAGGACAAGATAGTGGGCTCTCTCAGTGGTGGGCTCCCTCAGTGTCTGAGGCCTGGACCCATCTGCTGGACAGAACGCTCCCTGAGGATATGTGGTGGGGGCCCCATTGGCAACCGGAATGTCTCCTCATTCTGCTATCTCGGAATCAGTGTAGTCTGGTTCTAGATGAGACATCGACCATCCTGAGCAAGAAAATGCTTTACTGTCAGCATGGGCTCAGGGGCTGGCCTTGTTAATGGGGGTGCACCATCCATTCTGGAAGGTTCTAGAATAGCAGCTTCAGAGGCCCTAAGGAGAGAGAGGGGAGAGTGGCTTGGAGGCTGCTTCCTTGTGCAGCCAGAGCCGACCAGGTTGGCCACCCCTGGAAGATGGGATTGACAGGTGAAGGCTGCCCCCTGCTGGGCATCTTGGGAGCAGACGTTGGATGCACTGATTTACAAGAAACAAGACACTGGTGTGCTTTACAGTTGTTTATAATCCTCCTCATGGAATCCCTGCAAGGGAACACAAGGCGCTTAAGGCAGAAACCCGGTTTGTACTGGCTCCCGATTAACAGTGAGCGGAAAGTCCCCCGGGGAAAGGCGAGACAGGTTTCAAACATTCTTTCTGTCTGACTAAGTCTTAAACTCTTAAGACCCAGAGTGGAGATCATTAGGGAGTTTTCTTCTTTTTTTGCTTTGAAAATGAACTTGGATCTTTTTCTTTCACCCTCCTCCCTCTCCCCATAAGTACCCCAGACACAGGCCAGGGTGAGCCACAGTGTACCCCTTGTCCCTCCCAAAGGTTCTAAAAGGCCACATGAGTCTGCATTAGTACCTTCTAGAGTGTGAATGAGAAAACATTTGGGATCGAATATACTGCAGTATACACATTCATAAGAAACAGTGTAATAACAATTAGAGCACAAAACTATGGTATAAACATTTCTAAAAAAAAAAAAGAACGGTTACATTTCAGAAGGCGGTGCTTGTGAGACCAGAGGTGGGTCTTCCTTCTTTGCAGGCAGGTTTTGGATCAGAACCATTGCACAGAGCTGCTCCCATGCCGCAGCTACATGTTATGACTGGATGAAAGTCCAAGTGTAGAGTTCAGGGCTAGGAAGTCCTGGGTATCTGCTTGATTTTGCCTGGGATCTGAAGACTCCAGGACTGTGGACTCACGGAGGGCATTCTGGAAGATTCTGTGGAGTGGCACACTGTGGCATCAGGGCCCACTCGGATGCACTCCACATTGGGCTTCATACTGCCTGTGGTCGTGATCAAAACCCCAGATCCTTCCCATTGCTGCTTTAAAGTCTGATTTTGATTTTCTAGAGACCCCACTGTGTCTTCTTGGCATGCGCGGGCTCTGTTCTGCGGCGTGGCCTTTGGCATCTGCTGTGCGTCTGGGAGCCGCAGACGGTGTGGAACGCCGCGAGGGTCACGGTGGTGCCGACCTGCTCTGTCCCACTCTGTCCCTGAGGAGAACCCCCGTGGAAGCCGAGAGCAGCTGGACGAGGAGGAGAAGGTTCGGCGTGGTGGTCTTTTTCTTTTTAATCACGGTGAGAACCGGCATTAGTGGCACAGCGCTGAAGAAAGCCCAGAGGACACCAACTCGCTCAACTCTCCAGGGCGCTCCTTCCAGGGCTCGGACAGGAATGGACGTTGGGGACGCGTGTGCACTCCGGTGTGGGTGCAGGTGAGCCGCTGAGCTGCCCTCCCCGGGAACAGCAGCGACACAGGCCCAGTGGCACACAGGGCCTTCGCTGAGTGACACCGTCTTCCTCCCAAGACTCGCCTATCTGCCGCCCGCCCCTGGAGTCAGCGTCAACCCCCTCAGCATCGTCGTGAGGCACTGTGCGGTGGGGTCCTGCGCTGCCCAGCTCCCAGGGGGCCGGCAGGACTTTCTGGCAGCGCGAGGCCCGGCGCTAGATGCCCTGCAGGGCGTGGTTGGGGTCACTGCGCTCGCGCTTCACCAGCGGCTCGCCCAGGCTGTGGGCGTCTGTGTGGATCTCGCTGCCTCCGTCATCACCGATGTCCTCTGCAGGGTCCGAGTCAGAGGGCGGGGTAGGGTAAGGGATGAGAGAGAGAGAGAGAGAGAGAGAGCGCGCCACAGGGTCAAGCGAGGCCGACTCACTCCTTACTGCTCCCACTGGGCTGTGGCTGCTTGGATCCGGCCACCTATGCACCCCCCATGCAGCAGGCGGGTGTTCTCCTGGAGTCTTAAGGGATTAAATGTCACTCTGAAGTTCTGCAGGTGAGCGGATTCCTGGGGTGATCAGGGGAATGAATGCCCTGACTGCCTTCTGTGATCTGGAGGCCAGCTCCCCAGCACCCCAGCACCCTGTCATGCTGCATCACAGAGGAAATGTGCTGCAGGTTTTCAATGACTGAAATTTGGAAGGAGATGGCCAGGACTTTCTTCTGAGGCACTTGGGGTGGCCAGAAACCTCGAACCTTTCACTTAGCAGCTGAGCGCTAAGTGCTCAGGTGCACCCCCTAGGGACTCCACCTACTTTACTATAGAATGGGAGGGCAGACCAAAACCCCAAGAATAAGACCTAGTGGAGCCGGGGGCATACCTACCTTTGTCAAGCAGTGTCAGCGACAGGGAGGCCAGGTCGTTGAACTGGAAGAGAGAAGCCTGTGTTCAGGAATGGCCAGCGACGGCTGCCCGTGTACCTCCCAGGGCCCTGAGAATGCCAGCAGCAGCGTCCCCCCCGTTCACAGTGAGCAGGACTTTCAGTGTTTGGGAGGTGGTTTGGGTTCTGCCACTGAGAAATGGTTTGGACACTGTTGGGGGCCTGGGGGTGCCCTCTGATTCTCCTTTCCAGGGGTGGCCACTGCTCAAGGTGGCCAAGGAGGCAGGGGGCTGATGACGAGTGTCCCCTGGGAATGGCTGAGTCTGGCTTATAGTTGGGGCTTGGGAGCGCCGCCTCCATTCCCCAGGGTTTCCCTCTGGGGTCCAGTGCCCATGCCAGTGTGCTGGGCACAGGCACATGTCCCCATAGAGTTGGGGCCCGCTGTGGGGTTCAGTCACTGCCTCCTCAGAGGGCCATGGGTACCAGGGAGGGCTGTCTGAAATGCGTGGCAAGCATCACTGTATTTCTTTCTCCAAACGAACCTATACCACCCAATACTTCTGATCCTGGGTGTACACCCAAAGGAACAGAAAACCAGGACTCAAAACAGATACGCAAATGCCAACGTTCGCAGTGGAATAGTCACACTAGCCAAAACGAAGGACTGGCCCAAGTGTTGGTCCACAAATGAATGAATGGGCAGAACGTGGTCAGAATGAACCAGAATTGACTTGATGGCTGTGGGTGTTTCGGGTTAAAAAGCAACACCGATCTCATACAGGTGAGACCATGAATGGATCTTGACTACGTTATGCTGAGTGAGAGGAGTCAGCCACAGAGTATGAGAGTCCATGTGTATGAGAAGTTCAGAACACACTGATCCCTGCAGACAACGAAGACCATCAGTGGTTGCCTCAGGCCTGGGAGAAGACAGTGCGGGGTGACAGTTAATGGTGTGGGGTTTCTTTCTGGAAGGATGAAAACATTCTGGAAGTAGACATTGTGAATGTACTCAATGCCACCATATCATACACTTCACAACCGTGTATTTTACCACCAAACCAAAGTCACCACAGTCAAGTCAGTTCTGATTCTTAGCGACCCAATAGGACAGAGTAAGGGGTTCCTTAAGGTTTCCCCAAACTGTAAATCTCTGTGGGAGCAGGCAGCCTCATGTGGTGGGCTCGATCCATTGGTCTTGACAGGAGCAGCTTGACGTTTAGAGGCAGGAGACCCTGCCCGAGGTCACAGTGAGCAGGTGACTGGTCTGAGGGAGCACTCTCTGCTCTGCTTTGGGAGGCTGCCCTGCTCCCTGAGACCCCCTGTGCCCTGGTGTGCTTCCTCCCCCCCTCCCCCCCGCCTGATCTGCCTCACCTCTCCCATCACTGCAATGGGCGTCTCCCCAGTGGCCTCCGCCACGCGGTGTTCCACCAGGTAGAACATGTACTCATCGTAGAGCAGGCGGATGAGGTGGAAGGAGCCGAAGCTGGCGGCGCTGCGCAGGGTCAGGTCCCGGATTACCATGGAGCTGGGGGGGGGAAGGGGGGAAGGGACAGACAGGTGATACATAAGCCATTGGGCAGATTTTGGGTGGGGACAGGGCTGCTGACTCACTCTCAGAAGGGATGTGGGGAGTCAGGAGCAGATGGCCCTAATGCAAGAGTTTTCAAGTAAACATCAACGGGACTGTTTCTAACACAGTCTAAGAGCCGGTTCTGGATAAATCCTCTGACTCAGAGAAGAGACTAGATGCTGCCTCGGGGCTCCTCGCCCTAACCCGGAGGCTACTTTTCCTTCTTCCTCACAGGTGCCAGCTCCCGAGCCCGCCTCCTCTCAGTCCTCAGAGCCCGCGGGTTAGGGTACATACAAACAAGACAGAACTTCTGTCTCTTTCATTTAATAAAACACCAGTTGACAAACTATAACCTGGGGGCTAAATCCAGTCTGCTGGCTATTTTTTGTACCGCCTGATAGCTGAGAATGGTTTGTACATTTTTAAATGGTTGAAAACCAATCAGAACGGTGCTATTTCATGGCACGCGAAAATGAGAGGCCATTCACATTTCAGAGACCATCAATAAAGTTTTATTGGCACAAGGCCACGCCCATTCATTTATGGTTGCTTTCCTGATTCAACTGTACAGTTGAATATTGATGATAGAGATGATATTGCCCACAAACCAAAAATACTATCAGACTCTTTATAGAAGAAGTTGGCCAACTCTTGATTGAAAGGAATTCTACAGCATGACACCTGATCAAAACTCTGAGCTACATACACCTATGACACCGAACCCCAACCCCTGTAAGCCCTAGCTCCACACTTACGTAGTCTTGGTAATGGCTAATCAATATTGTAGCAGTGTTGTTGTTGTTGGTAGGTGCCATTGAGTTGTTACCAACTCATAGCGACCCTATGTACAACAGAACGAAACACTGCCCGATGCTGGGCCAACCTCACAATTGTTGCCACGCTTGAGCCCATTGATGCTGCTGCCACTTTGCCAATCCATCTCGCTGGGGGTCTTGCTCTTTTTCTCTGACCCTCCACCTTACCAAACATGATATCCTTCTCTAATGACTGGTCCCTCCTGACAATATATCTGAAGTATGAGAGATGAAGTTTGGCCATCCTGGCCTCCAAGGAGCACTCTGGCTGCACTTCTTCCAACACAGATCTGTTGGTTCTTTTGGC